TTTGTGGTTCAGGTTCAGGTTCAGTTCAGGTTCATTGAACCTAAATTTGAACTGAACTGAACCTAGGAACCCTAGCCTGATCTCAGTTCTTGTAAGGGTTTTGGGGGTCCTGGACATTTTACTTAGAGAACCTGATCTCGTTTACTTAGTACGTTATTGAGATATAGCAACACTGGTAATAATCACCAATGGTAATAAATAGCAAAATTCTTTTTTTTTTTATTGTTTTTTTTTATTATTTTTTTATTTTTATTATTATTTTTTTTTATTATTATTTTATTATTATTATTATTATTATTATTTATTATTATTATTTTTTTATTTCTATTTTTATTATTATTATTTTTTTTTTATTTTTTTATTATTATTTTATTATTATTATTATTTTTTTTTATTTTTTTTTTTTATTATTTTTTATTATTATTATTTTATTATTATTATTATTATTATTTTATTATATTTTTTTTATTATTATTTTTTATTATTATTTTTTATTATTATTATTATTTTATTATTATTATTTTATTATTATTATTATTATTATTTTATTATATTTTTATTATTTTTTTTTTTATTATTTTTTTTTTTTATAAAAACTTTTCTAAAGAAGAATACCAGAAGGTATTCTTTTATAATTAAATTTTTAATTTAAACCTTAAAAGTTTTAAAACCCAAACCAAATCTAACCAATTTAGCTATCTTTAGATTGCATAAAAGAGTCTAATATTATCTAAATTTTTGAAGATAAAGCTTAAAAGCGAATTTCTTGCTATAATGATCTCAATATTCAGAGTGTAGTATTGTGATCAGTAATAGTTGTATTAAGAAGACTGATCACAATATGGAGAGAGTTAAGTTTGGCTTGGTTTGTAAGTATAGTAGAGAAAGTGGTAATATTATTTAGTTCATCAATATCTCTATCATTTTCTGAAGCTGCTGATTCTAGCAAATTAGCATTTGTGAACTCTTGATGCACCATATTCATTTCTTCTAGTAGGTTTGTATAATAAGCAAAGCTCATAGGGTGGCGAGTAGACAATAGTTTTAGTGATTCTTCTAAATCTGCAATAACAGATAAATCTTTATTATTCGAATAGACTTCATGTATAGTAGGAGTAATTTCATAATTAAACAAGCCAGTATAGTAAAAACAATTTGCAATAATCTTTGGTAAAATTAAATACCAAGCCCGAACACACCATTGCATAGCTTTTAGTTAGTTAACTTTATATATATCAGATTCCTTAGCCTTATCATGATCAATAGCATGTCGCAAAAGAAATTAACAATAACAATATTTGAAAGCAGCAATAATGCCTATATCTATTAGTTGAATTTTTGATATTGTCCTTGGAAATAAAGTAACAACCTTTATATTAGTAAGATCAGTATTACCAACTGTATATAAACTTGCACTATCGATAAAAAGAAGAATATGATGATTTGCTTTTTGCATTATACAATTAAAGTTTACAATCTTTCTCTAAAAAAAAGTCCAGTCATCCAGGCCTTCTTGTTATTGTGATAATAAAATTCATGTTGTTTTTTAGTTTTACCTTTAAATGATTTTAGTTTTTTTGAGTAACTAATAAAAAATAGTTTTAATATATGAGACCCATCTGCATTAGAAGTAAAAGCAATAGTAAGACAAGTTTTATCCTTCTTACTTCCTTCGATTTGTCTTTTAGCTATTGTTTTATCTAGTGCCATTCTGTAAAATAAACCAGCTTCGTCTATATTATAAATATCTCTTGTAGTATATTCACTAATAATTGTACGAAGTTTAGATAAATTTCTTTCAATAGCTTTATTATCAGCTGACCCACTTTCACCATATATTCTGTGTATTTTAAAACCATAATATTGCTCAAATGAAAGCAACCTGCTAACTGAAAAATCAGGTGTATTACGATCTTGAGTATCAAGACCACATTGTGTAGCAAATTTTCAACTTTTTTCACATATCAGTTCCCCAGTTAAATAAATTCTTCTAGTTTGGCATTGCAAAACCCAATTAGCTAATTCTTCATCTAATTGTGGTTGAAGCACTGTTTGCTGCCATTTAACTCTAAGATCCTTTTCATCATCTATTTTAAGATATTCATTTTTTTTTCCAAGAATCTGTAAAAGTGTTGTTTGATTAGGTGCATTGTCAAGATTAAAATTTTTCTTAGCCCACTTTGCAAGTTGGTCTTGTATAAGTGTTAGATTATCTTGCTTGTGTAAGTATATTCTTTTGCACTAGTTATTAGTAAGACTAATTTTTTTGATGACATAAGAGAGAAAACTAGGTGTAAAATTTTAATTATCACTTTTTTTTTCAATTGCTTATTAATATAAAACACCACATGTATATAATGAAATACTATTTTTATATTAGACATAGAGCAGGTTTTTTTCAAAATTGTCTCTACAATAACTCTTTACTCTTTCTTGATATAAATATTTCGGTTGTTTCAATTTAATAAATTTTTTTACCATTATATTTACAAATTATATTTGATTAAGTTTCAACTAATTTACTATTTTTATTTTAAAATTTAACTACAAATCACTGGCAGTGATCATCACTGCCCCTAGATATTTTTAGAGTTAGGGTGCAGGTATTAAGAATTATTTTTTTTTTATATAAAATAATATAGAGCTAATACAAGGTCCTGAATTTAGTTTTTATGAGGTTTTTGGAGGTTCTGAACATTTTTACTTAGTACGTTTTTGAGATATAGGCACCCCGGTAATGATCACTGCCGGTTATGGTTAGTAATATTCTTTATTTTATATTAATTATTATTATTCTTTTATACATTAATTTATTCCTTTTTATTTATTTATTTTTATTTATCTATTCTTTATTTATTTATTATTATTTGTTCTTTTTTTTTTTTTTTTTTTTTTTTTTTTTTTTTTTTGT